GGGGGGGCCACGACGTTTGGGTGGCCACCGATACTCGCTGAGCGGCTCTCGAGGACGAGATGGGCCGGCTGAGGCGCGGATTCGCAGGAGCAAGTCCTGCTTCTGGGCGAGTCAGGCGTTGGCGGCGATCCGGGATCGAGATATATCCTCTCGAGCCTCCACTTTGTTCCTCGCGCTTCGGTCCTAATGAGTGCCGGTTTTCCACGGCGGCCTCTTCTCCGGCTCCGGCCGTGGCGGCTGGTAGAAGCGGATGCTGTTTTTGGCTTTCCTGTGGAGGGGACGCAGTACACCACCGATTGGAGGCGACTGCCGTCACGCGTTTCCACGTCAAAAGTCCTCGACGTCGGGTGAGCCGACAGAGGAGGAGAGTGAGAGTTCGTTCTGCGTAGCTTGTTCATGCGTCTCGACACTGGGAGAGTGGAGCCACAGAATAGTGCGAACAGATTTCGCCTTCTTTCGGACGGGCCAGGCTTCTTATTTCGTTAAACAGTAATTCTTCTAACGCAAAATGCGGCCATCCGGCGGCGACAGGTAACATTATTGACGTAAACAAACTCGCGTATATTGTGCTCCTTGAGCGCTCGCGAGAAGTGCTGGGTGGCGGGTGGCAGCCATATCAGGCGCGTTCTCATACAACAATAATTATTATGTGTGAGAAATAATTTGTATGGTCGATCTACACTTATGTGAAAAATGAGGCGTCACTCAATTTACTTGATCTAGTTAAAATAGAAAATCTCAATTATTAATCCTGCAATTTATATCAAGAAAAGAAAATTCTTTGAACATAAACAAATAGTACGTAAGATATACGAATATAACTTAAAATAATTAATCATAGAAAGCAGTAATGAGCATAGAATCAATGTATCAATTTAATTCCTCGTAGTTAAATACGTTTTAGTTGAATAAATCTTTCAATTACGAAGAACCAAGTTCACTCACAATAAACAAAGAAATAAAAGAAGAAATATAATTAAGAAGCTCAATAAATTGTCACATATCTCACATAATTAATCATTATTCATGAAGATTGATACATTAATTCTCTGTAAACGAATGCAAATATAGTTTGCTATTAATTTTCTTAAATCATAGATAATATCCTTTGAAAAAGAATAAACGCACGCAAGATTACTTATTGAAACGCAAAGAAATTGTATAGATATACTTGAATCGCTAAAGATGATTATTTATAAGAATATTTACAAGAAGAAACGCTTTGATCATTCAGAATCACTACGAAATAATTAGCGAAATATTTACGAGAATAATTCTAATTTGTCAATTGTTCACGTTTAAACATATGAATGAATAGAATATTTCAAGAGACTTTAATCAATATAAAAACTCGAGCTAATATTAATCGGTTATTGCAAACAAGGACAACAACGCAAGTACGTATGTACGTTATATGTAATTGAATACAAAAGATCTAATGATCACGCTTTTTCGAACGCAAAGAAAAGAATAAGAAATATTTTACAGTTTGTTATAATCAGTAACTGATTGCAATCAATGAATTAAACAAAGTATATAAACCTTACATGAGCTCATATATATTACGTGACTCGAAACAAATTGTGCACAACTCTTCGATCATCGAGGAAGTTTTCCTCTCAGCTTGCCCTCTCGATATGTCGGCAAGCTGAAATTCGTAACCGATCGTAAAAATCATGATCTCTTGCGGATCCCTCGTGTAACGATAGACGAGAGTCTAACGTCCGTACTCTTGAATGTAATAAAACGGTTACCTTTGAATCGAAGTTCTCGTCATATAAACAGTATTTGGAATTATAAATGGTCTTACAGACCAAGCCACGGACGGCTTCCTTCTCGATTTGTAAGTGGCTTCTCGTATTCCATCTGAACAGGCCTTCTAGAACGTTCCCAATATGGCTGCCTTTCCTCGTTTCCAGAATCGTCGCAGTAATTTTCCAACAGGGCTCGTGTCCTTTATTTCGACGAACGTCGCCGCTCAAACGTATCGCATATACGATAAACCGATACAATAACTGTTTCACCTCGAACATCAGAATTTTATCACGCCACGACTCAAATGTACTATTCACTGCGGAAAAGAATGACGCAATTATTAAGTTATAGAACACCGAATACAACGGGTGTGTGTCGCGAGACATCCGGAAGACGAATGCTCGCTCGCCCGGGCTGCGCGCCCCTCCCAACATGCTCACGCAAGCGCGCGAACGCCCTACGCCGGGCCGCCTGGGACGCAACGCGGTCGGCGCCTATTGCGCGCATTTTCACCGTTCTACGCATACCGCGCGACCTGACCTACCGCAATATGAAATGTATAGGTGGCTGCACCTACACAATCTCTCTCTCTCTCCTTTAGCTTTACTTTATACAGATACCTACAACAACAAAAAATATCTATAATTTGAAGATATTTGAACTAAATTCTTTAAAAAATTTTTATAATTTAATTTGTATTCCTTAACAGATTCCAGTATATATGTATAAACGTAGATTTTATATACTTACATTTTGAAAAAGCACGTGCAGGTGTATCACATATAAAGGCATTTATTTTTATTTGAAACTTATTTATCTGCATTCCTTGAATAGGTTGTTAAGTTCAGTGACAAACTCTCGAAAAAATAATTTAACAGGAAGTTTACTCTCATCACAATAAATTGCCACGACTTGTGGAGCAACATTTGAAAATTCAGCAATTTTCATCAGAATTGGCCAAAATTGGGTTTTTGAACTATTATTTATTGGTAGACCATCTATATAAAAATTTATTGCAACATTCACTGGTTTTGTAATACCTTCGTTGCTAAGTAGAATGTTAGTTAAACTCTGTTTGATCCCATAATACCAAAAGTGGCCAGTTCCCATTGGCACAATTTCTACTTTTTGTGGAGTTTGTAGTAAGATTCTACAATCTTTGGGTAAATTGTTAAAACCATCAACCTGAGACAAAAGGTATAACAATTCATTCAGAGCAACATGCGTAATACAATTCCTCAGGGCCCAGTCTCTTAAATTTTCAATAACCTTTAGCACCTTGTCTTGGTCTTAAAAAAAATTTCCTCATGGTCATATAACGATTGTATGTCGATATCTTCAGTTTCCATATCAGAAAATTTTGGTAATTCAGGAAAATTTGTTGATTTTCCTGACCTTGAAGCTTGGATGGGAGTCTCAAGATTTACATCTTGATCTATATCTATATCTTTTGATGATTCTGATGTGTTATTTTTTTTCTCTTAAAATCATCTCTATGCTTTAGATCCTTTTTAAATTGTTCACAAAGTTTTAGCCTTTTTCTATAAAAGGTGGGAAAATGTTTAAACTTTTTTTTCTGTTTTTCCATATTTTACAAATATTTAACCTCTGCAAAAAAGTCAAACGTCACATCAAACCGAATGTTTTATTAGGTGTACAACTTAGTTCGGTCCGTTTTCAAAAGATGGCTGTAGCGGTAAGTGGTGGTCGAAATAAATAGATCGCAGACGTCATACAATAAGCTTAGGCATTTGTAAACATAACGCCATAGAAATATTAGTCGATTTGTGTCTGCATCATAAAGTTATTCTCGATTGAAAATGTCAGCTTACGAGCCAAATTCTCGTCATTTGCGGGAGGTTTTAATTTTCTGCTTCAATATGAAAAAATCTGTGGCTGAGGCTCATCGAATGCTCTCAAATACGTATGGTGAGGCCGCTATTAGTGAAAGAACGTGCCGAGAGTGGTTTTAATGCTTCAAAAACGGTGATTTTGACGTCGAAGACCGGCATGGCGGTGGAAGAAATAAGGTTTTCGAAGATGCAGAATTGAAGGCATTACTTGATCAAGACTCGTGTCAAACGCAAGAAGAATTGGCAGGATCATTGGGAGTGACTCGACAAGCCATTTCAACAACGATAGACACGATAAAGTGATTTTGCAGCATGACAATGCTCGACCCCATGTCGCAAAACCCGTCAAAACATATTTGGAAACTTTGAAATGGGAAGTCCTACCCCACCCGCTGTATTCACCAGACATTGCTCCCTCTGATTACCATTTATTTCGGTCGATGGCGCACGGCCTGTCTGAGCAGCACTTCACATCATATGAAAATATCAAAAATTGGGTCGATTTGTGGATAGCCTCAAAGGATGAACGTCGCTATTCCGACGCGGTATCCATATACTGCTAGAAAGATGGGAAAAAATAGTGGCTAGCGATGGACAATACTTTGAATAAAACCGTACGTACCGTTCTTTCACAATAAATGCGTTTTTCAAGCAAAAAAACGGACCGAATTAAGTTGTACACCTACACTCATATCTCTACATTTTTTAGGCAGAATTTGTTACCATTTCTCGCAATTTCTTAACGTCAGTCAGAAATGACCACAGGCGACATTTCACAACGTTAGCGTTTTACAACGTTTGATGACAAAACGTTGGTTTACGTTGGCAATTACGTATTAAAGTCGCTCGAAAAGTGTGGTGCAGAGTATAACGTCAGGCGAACGTTAAATATCTTAACGTCGGGTAATAGGATTTAAACTGTTTCAAATTTGACGTTGGGAACGTGATAAAAAAAGCACGTCGTAATTTTAACGTTAAGACAACGTCCAAAAAACGTTAGTAATTATAAGTTACATTTTATAACTTTCTTGGACCGCTTACAACGTTGTGATTAGTAGAAAAGTAGTCCTTAGTCGGAAAGTTAACCGAAAAATGCTGCTTGGGAACACGCATCTGCATACTTTTTCTTAAAAGCAACTATGTCTTTTTCATACCGATTCGTCTCATTATTCTATGCATAAAAATATTAAGGTACATTACCGAAAACTTAATGTTTTACAAGATATTTTGTATTTTATGTCAAAATACTAGAACTTTCAAGCCTTATAATTCCAAAAGTTCTTAATTTTGAAAAACTTTCAAGATTAGCTACAAGAATATGCATTAAAAAATAGGGATTTTTATTTAAGAAATTAAAGGTGTCGTTTACATGAGCTTTAAACGACCATCCATGGTTAAACCAATGACACCATCTTATGGCCCCCTCGAAACCAAATAACTTTTGTCTGAAATATTTTTCTCTCCCGGGCTTGGTTCTCGAGATATTCGACTGGATGGATTAAAATATTCCACGCTGTATAATCAGATCCGAAATTTGGGTACTATTGTGACCGAACTTGTGGTCTCGAACTGGAATAAACTTACTTGTAATGAAATTAAAACGGTCGCCACTGTGTTTTAGACGTTGACACAGAACGTATATGCCCGTCAACGGTATCGACAATGGTCTCAATTACTTCTTTCCTTTCAAGATAGCTATCTTCACGTCGATGGCTCGTCCTCTGGATCCGCACTCGCTTTCGCGTCGCGTAAGATGCTTATATATCCGGTTAATTAGGAAAAAAATCTTTAATAAGT